TTGCCTTTAAACTTGAAAACCAAAATGCAAATGCTCTGATGACGAATCGTATTACGCGTTTACATTAGTTACCTCAAAAGAACCGCCTGTATTTCTGTATTTATGTGCGGTAGAGTCACATTCCATAAATTAAATGCTCATATAAACAGCTATTGATACCGGAAACGTTATCCATCATTGTGTAGTAAATACATTTATCTATCCCCATGAATTGCGAGCAGAGGTGTGCAAAAAACGCAAAGGTGGCCGACACCTATTCAATGATTCGTGTGATGCGTTCGCCCAACAACAAACAGATCTTTACAATAAGCGCTTGACTTTGAACGGAATCTAATTTGTGTGGTTATTGTGTAATGCGATCAGGCGGGGGCCATCGCTTTGTGTGAGGATCGGGCGCAGACGGTCGGTTACACAACAAATCAAAATTTAACGAGCTCGCGCAAACGATACCAGCCTTCTTGCAAGCTCCTCTGCCGTCCGCTCGAGCGTATGATTGCTGCACCTTTGAAACCACTTCGAGAACACCACAGATTTCAGGCGGCGTACCACATATTCTGCTTCCATTGTACCTGTCGTAGGAACACGGTACTGGATTACCGAACCGTTCCGACTTATCTCTCGGATGCTATTTTGTTACACGTAAATAAGCACTTTTTGCAACCGTTTGCAGAAACCGTGGAGATTATGCACGGGCAGAGTTTATTCTAAGCTGGATTACAAATTTTTAAATAAATACAATTAGATAACAAACAAACATAACTAAGGGAAGTCAGATTCTCCGCATTCTGTTTTAGCTTTAACTTTTTTGAGGTGAACAATAGGATGGGAGGGAATTCGTATAAACGGATGGAGCCGGTTAATCGGGTAAAAAGCTGAGTCGCGATTATGGTTTTCTTAGAAAGTGTTGGTGAGAACGTCGGGCGGTGCGCTGGCTAGGTGGGACCTGCAGATTACAGGCTGCCAATGCATGGTGGCTAGCTTACCGGCAGAGCGAGTAGTCCGGTACAAATAGCTTTTCATGTTTCAAAAATATTGAAGGCTAATAGGTTATGGACCATTGGCCGAACTCAATTTATCATTTTTTTATCATTTTGTGTCATTTTGCGTACATCTAACGCTAACATACTTTCGTTTTCCGTGAAAAAAAAAAACGACTATTACACTGTGTTGTGTAAACAGTCACATAGACAACACTTAAAAATTGAATTAACTAATGCTCAGTCATACAACAAATGAATCTAAAAATGGCACAAAATGAAATATGTGCTTTATAGACACACATTACACTATTGCACAAAAAATAAGCTACATTAGAATTTTTGTAAGTTATGCCCTCAAATAATGCCAGCGGGCCCGGTCTAGAGATGCGCTTGCGCAGGTAGGCACCTACAAGCACGCACACTACCGCCGCCGCCGATTAGCCGGCCCGCTACATGAAAGCGTCTGCGATTCTCTTTTGTTTCGTATCTTATCGGATTTTAATTACGAGGGTAGAGAAATCTCGTTATTCCTTAAAGGGATATGACTGCTCCGAGCTAATTTACTATCGTCCTGCACGATTTTATGTTCTCGACTTTATTTTATTGCTTACGACTGAACTTATGTAGGTACGGCACGCACGTTATTATGTCTGTTTGATGAATGTCCGTTTCTCGTTTGATATTTTATGGGCAGAGTTCTGAATCGATTGATTATCACTATGTGGGATTTTAATGTCATTCATGTTCGTGAGTTTTCTTTTTGATCCTGGGAACATGCAGTTTACTGCTAGTGATTGCCGTGTAGTGTCGGCTTAGAATAGCATCACCTCATATATTTTCTGTTGGTGTAGTAAGAACCGACTAAGTGATTTGAGAGTTGATGTTTATTGTAATTTTAGGCTATAGGCTGACCTGTCACTATGGTGATACACAGTTTTTGACTATCAAACGTTTACTCTATATCGGCAAGGGATATCGGCGTGATATTTGTATGTAAGATTATTATGTCCCTATATCTTTATAACTTAGCTCATACTTATCGTGAAGACTGGTGGGAGCTAAGCAAGGACAGAAATAGATGGAAAAAGGAAGGGGAGGTCTTTACCCAGAAGCGGGACACTATAGGCTGATAATAATAATATCAATCTTAACATGTTTTTCTTGTCATTTCAGAGTCGTCAGTGGGCACCGGAGCCGGATGCTTCCCGTCTGGTGCTATGGTCCACACGGAAGAGGGCCCCAAAGACATCGCAACGTTGCAGGTCGGAGACAGAGTTTTAGCTGCGGATGACACCGGCAAGCTTGTCTACTCTGAGGTCAGTATTTTCGCTAAATTCAAATGCAAGGTCACTTATTATCCGAATATATCGTCAAGCTGACGAGATCTTGCCGGAAAAATTTGACGGTTCCCGCAGTAAAGGAGATGAAGTCTATATGCTCTGCAGCGGATGGATGTAGGCTGAAGATGATGATAATAATGATTGTATTACGTTCGTTGAGTTTTGGCAATAAACAAAAACTAATTTCACGTTCTGGTTACTTGCCTAATAAGATCAATTACTCATAAGAAAAACCTCTCTTCTGTAACTAATAGTATCAGGCGTAACTTTGCGGAAGTCCATCTTGATGAAAATGATAGAAAAATATTTAGCTTCTTCCGCACCTATTATGCTCTCTTCTGTATCTGATTAGTTCTTTGTTCAATTTCCAGGTGTTGACGTTCCTCGACCGGGATCCGAACGCGACGCGCGCGTTCGTGCAGGTGACGGCGCAGAACGGCGTGACCATCACGACCACGCCGTCGCACCTGCTGCTGCTGGCGGCGGCCGACGGTTTCCGGGAGGTGTTCGCCGCCAACATCCAGGTCGGCGACACGCTGCTCACGCACGGGCCCGGCAGCGTCATGCGGCCGTCGCGCGTCGTGCGAACCAAGATGGTGTCGCGGCTAGGCGTGTACGCGCCATTAACCGCCACCGGAACTATCATGGTCGACGACGCGCTCGCGTCCTGCTACGCGCTTGTCAAGAGCCAAAAGCTGGCGCATACGGCGATGGCGCCGCTGCGCTGGCTTTCGCGGTGGAGCTCTGACCCCAGCGCGGAGATCCCGCGCGGCGTGCATTGGTACGCGTCCGCGCTCTACAAGTTTGGCGACTACGTGCTACCTACGTCGTACAGGTTCCAGTAGCCGCCTACTGGAAACACTGTCAAAGTGGAGGACTGATATCGCGCGCGGGACGTGCCGGACTCTTTACACCTGTAAATAATGGCCAGTGTACATAAAATGACAGCACACGTTCTACTTGTAAATATGCTCGCATTTAACGTTTCCGTATTGCTTCCGTAGCGATGACAACGAATATTAACTACCCTTATAGGAATCTATTTATTAAGTAGTTATATAAGTTAGACTTTTTGCAATTCGCATATTATTTAGATACTGGACTAGGAATATATGTAAATTGTGTCGGTATTGTTATTCTGCACAATGCAGAAATACTTAATGTATGCGCTTATGTTTGTTAAGTAATTGTATAAATACTAATAAGTGGTTAAGTAGGTACTTCCTTTTGTTAGAGAATTTTCGAGTATTTCGGACATTGCTTCCTTGAAGTAAATCAGTATTGGGTTCTTTGCCCCGTTTGCCGGTGTGCATCGGTATGCCTCAGTGCTTCGGAAGGTACGCCTCAGCACCTGCGGTCTCAGCAACTAGAACATTCCTTGCCTCTTGTAATTTTCTGCATACATCGAAACGATACAATTGTGATCTTGGTACCTAAAGCAGTGCCTTAAGATTTTATTTATTGTTATTTATTATACGCTAAGTAAAGTACTGTATTTATAAATTGACGCAAAATTGAGCTTATCATGAAATGAGATGAATTTCTGTACTTAATTTTCTTTTCTTTGTAATTTTAATTTTAGTTTGAATATTTCCAACATTATCTGTTGGGCGAATGAACTAAACCTTAATCCTCTTTTACAACTTCTATGTATGTTTAAGAATGCTGTATTATGGGCCGTTGTCGTAAGATCATTATGTAATTTATCATGAACTGAAGTTTGGGTTCCTATAGTATGAATTTTAATGAAATGTTGTTCTTAAACTGGCAACAGATTAGGACTAATGCTAGGTCAAAATTTCAGATTATTTATTGCCATAATATCTACTATTTAAAGCATGATGTACCTATTTCGATATAGAATGTGAAGAGTATGGATCATTCAATTACTTATCATTGATCATAAAAATAATTGACTTGTTTATCTTCAACAAGATAAACTTTATAATTAGCCGTAGAAATAAGTTGAAACTAACAATTGATAAAATAGAAATAAAATCAAAAAGCTTTAACTAATGTTTGACAATACGAATAGTAGATATTTGCCATATGATTGCCATATTTAGTTTTAAAAACTGAATAACTTTATGTGTATTGTATACATGTTATTGTATTAAACCCGGCATGTATCTTAAAGATTCCTAGGCCCATATTTATAAATCGCTCCTTATTCTGATTTGATGAGTACTGCTGATATTTGTCAATAGAATATCGTTCTCAAGATCCTTCTCAGAGTTGAGAGAAATTTGTAAATACAGGCCTAAATTTCTGAAATCGTATTAATCCGAAATCTACAGTTAATTTGTGGTTTCAATCGTTACACACAAATATCTAGGTACATAGCACAAGAGTACCTCTAGTTCTATGTATATTGTATTATTATGTATTAATTGTAATTGTCTTTGTAATTCTACTGATGTGGCATATTACACAGCGACATGAATGTAAAACAAATATAAATTGATCGAAGTTAATGTAAGATTTGATAAAGAATAGATTAGTAAATGGCGTTCTAAAAATTCCTTTCACTTTTCTAATAAAGAAACGGAAAAATTAATTATCAGATTAAAAAAAATTGGGTTATACAATTTTTAGAACTTGCAAATTTTTCCACCGCTTTCAGTATTTCAACCTGCGGCTTTCAACATCTGTAATTTGGCGACGCCTCTACCAAGATTGAGTCGTGGTAGCCCAGATGGTAGAGGCACGGCCAGTTCAGATGGTGAAAGTCACAGGTTCAAATCCTGACTGCGGTGGATAATGTTGGAAGTTTTCCAGAATACGTCCAGAAAGTTTTAAGATACCCACAGAATATTTTCCACCAGACGCCATTTTCAAATCTTTTCCAAACCGAATTGGGTACCTATAATTGAGTTGAGTGGTCGAACGTGCTACTCTTTAAAATCTATTGCATGAAAATATTGCAATATAATATAACGTCATATTTCACTAATTGAGATGGAGTCAAAATATTTTGATTCAAAAATTTTTACGTAATCAAAATAGGTATTCAATCTTTATCGAATAACGATAAATGAATTAAGTGCCTATATATTATTTTAGGACCATAGTTTAACGATACATCTTCTGTTATTTCAATATGTACCCAGTTGAGTACCCAATTGTAGACTATTTTTTACTATAAAGATGCGGGCATTCTTTAGACAGACTTTGGTGAATTTTCACACATATTGTATAGAACAATAGGTATGTAATTATTGTGCTCTTATATTATTTATTTATTGATGTTATTTTTGTATTGATATAAAAAGCCTTCAATATTCGTAAAATGGTTGTATTATTTCATAATTGCGTCAATAGCTGGTAATAACTATTCGGATTGACCCATGGAGCTAAAAATCGGCATGTAGGTACTTCTTGACCTTCTGATCAAAATTAGACATGGAGCCCAGCGGGCTCCACCCCCCTTAGCCTTTTACCACCCCCCTTCCTTTACAAGGTGTAACTCTTGAAGTAATTGACTTGGAGGGTAGTTATTATTTCATATCGTGCATGACATCTCACTTGAAGCTTATTGTGCCCTCAAAATTACCCTTTAGACCCCCCGGGGGCCCCAAAATCCCGAAAAGTGGGGTGTCCCGTTCTAATATGAGATTTTCTTATTTTCAAGCTATCGACTCCCAAGAGGTATCAAAAGTTGCGTAATTAGACACAATGGCCGAACTGTTAGACTGAAAATCGACAAGCTATGATCAGCACTAATCTCGACAACTGAGTGGGTCCCAGCCCTGGGGCTCTCTCTCTTGGACGCTATCGGTCGACGCGCGCGGACCATTGTTTACGTTATGAGCGATCCAAAATTATTAATTAAAGGTATTTATTCCGAAGAACTCAGATTCCAAAAAACAAAACATATCTTTGAATAATATTTATCTTTAGGGCTTTTCCGAACTTTAAAAAACAATTATATGTTGGTTTCGTAGTCACAACATTTTAACGATTGATAGAGCCCTAAAGATAAATATTATTTAAAGATATGTGGACAGTTCTCAAAAAATTGGCCGCAAGATTTCATTTTTGCGTGTTTTTAAAAAGTTCGTGTTTTCGCGAAAAAAAATATCTTGCTAGCTAGATTACTGGTTCTTTATTACATATTTAGTGGAGGGAAGCAATTTTTTTCATTACTTTAGGAAATATGGGCAATCTAAATTACGAGGGGGGCAGGTGAACGACAATGTCGCCAGGTTAAAGACAATAGGTGCAGGTTAACGACATTTTAGTACAAATTTACTAAGTAACGTCAGCAGGTTAACGACTACGGGTACGGGCTGTAATTTCTCAGCAATAAAAACACAAAATACCTAATGATTTAGTAACTTAAATTCGTACAGCACACATATGAACATTTTTGCACTTCAACTAAATCAAACTTTTAATAAGTAAAATAAAGTATCTCTATGAACAATTCAATGTTTTTTAGAAAAACCCTTCTAAAATTATTGTTTAATAAATTTAGGACTACTTTTATCAAATTAGTAAAATATTAAGCAATGAATTAGATCATTTATTTTATATTATTAATTACACATTTGTATGATAATTGTCGCTAACCTGCTATTTGGTCGTTCACCTGCATTTTTGAGACAGGTGAACGACCGGCAGGTTAACGACTAAATAGAAGTTATTTCGTCATCACAAGAAAACCATTTTGTACAAGGATTGCTCACTTAGACACATTAAAGCAAACACTATTTTACACATTATAACTTGAAATGAGTGCAACGGATAGCATAGTTTTTTACATAAAAGAGGCATAAAAACGACTACATACCCGTTACAAACTCCAGAATCCGATATATAGCTCGCCTTTTCTCCGGAAATTGAACAACTGACAAGGCCGTCTCTCAGCAGATGTTTGCTAGTGAATGGCTGGTTCGGGTGTTGCAGAGTGAGACGGGAGAGGTGAAGTGGTACCCGCGGTACGATCGTGTTTTCACATTTGCAGATTAACGACAAAAATGTTCGTACAAAACTTTAAATTGTATTTTATGTTATGAATAATGAATATTAGGTTATTATATTGTGTGATTCTTCTCCTATGGATATACGTAAATAGAAACGTCTGGTAGAATATTTTATTTTTGCGCATTAATATATTTTTTTAATGCTTAAACTTAAGCACATCGTGAAAAGACACGCAGGTTAGCGACCAAATATACGTAAAAATCAGTTTAAAAGTATATAATATACCTCGAGCGATATTATATACACATGGCCTTTGTGCAAGAACTGTGTTTAAAAACGAATATGGCAAAAGTTATTAGCTGGGTGCACAAATATAAAAAATATCTGACGTAAACTGATGCACAGGTTGTGCGGCCAATTTTTTGAGAAACGGCCATGTTATGTTTTTTGCAATCTGTGTCTAATTACGCAACTTTTGATACCTCTTGGGAGTCGATAGCTTGAAAATAAGAAAATCTCATATTAGAGCGGGACACCCCACTTTTCGGGCTTTTGGGGCCCCCGTGGGGCCTAAAGGGTAATTTTGAGGGCACAATAAGCTTCAAGTGAGATGTCACGCACGATATGAAATAAAAACTACCTTCCAAGTCAATTAATTCAAAAGTTACGCCTTGTAAAGGAGGGGGGTTAGTAAAAAGTTAAGGGGGGTGGTGCCCGCTGGGCTCCATGTCTAATTGTGATCAGAAGGTCAAGAAGTACCTACATGCCGATTTTCAGCTTCAGGGGTCAATCCGAATAGCTGTGACGTTAGTTACTAGACTAGATACCTTAGTGTTGAAAATTTGAAGTAGTCCAGTGTGTAAGTTCGGATTGGATGTACCTACCTAAAAATAAGTATTGTTATGATATATGAATGACAACTGATATCTTGTCAATATAAATGACACGCAAAGTTACACGTTTACACCCAATAAGCGTCAAAATTGTCTCTTTTATTTTATTTTGACGTTTACTGGCCTTCACTGGAAAGGACTGCAATTTCTAATTTGGTAACTAGAAGATGGTTGCCTGCCACGAATGCCATATTTCTTGGATTAAAATTGGCTCAGAATCATAAAACGTGCTTGAATCAACGTCAGATTTTGCTGTTTTGATATTCTTCTATTTTGAGATTTTTGACAGTAGATATCCTGGCTGAACTAAAACAATTGACAGTCGCGAAAATCGTAAATAGGGTCCAGTGAATCTTCTGTAATACTCTCCTTTTACTATGAGTAGGTATGAGAGTCTAATCTTATTGGTTTGGTAGGTAGGTATACCAATCGACTTTATGGGCGAATTACATAGGCGCAAGCTCCACAGAGTAGACATGAGATGTAAGAGATGAGAGTAACAGAAAAAAACAAGAAAGCTACACACTTGAGACGCGCGCCCCATCGATAACGGCTGACGATCGCTTGTCTAACAGATGTCATGTTGCGCGTCGCGCCTCTATTTTTTGCAGCCTGCCCCGTACATACCTATCTAGTAGGTAAATCCTTCATTTTAAATTCTGCGACTGAACGCAGATGCTAAAAAATATCATAGAACTTGAAATGATGTAGGTACTATGTATGTATATTATCTTCTTTGATGCAAAACAAAATTAGCTTCCTTTGCAACTTTTAAAAGCGGAACAATTTTCCCTTGTTGTCTGCAAAATTACGCTTCATCAAAAAGCAAAATAGAAAGAAATATTACTTACTGAAATAGGTCATGGATATGGAAGAGCTGCCATTTTATAATTTCTTGAAGTATTCAAATAAGTACCTATACATAAAAATATGTTCTACTAGCTTTCTGTCCCGCGGTTTCACCCGCGTCTTAGTGATTCTTCTAATTCATTCATTCAATTTGGGCTTAGTTACTCACCAAGAGATGTCGCTGTTAGTTTCTAAAACGCGAATCGGCTCAGTCGCGCCACCTATTTCAAAAATATTGGAAAATGCGTGATCCCGTGGGAATGACACATTTTTCCGTGGTAAAAAGTAGCCTATGTGTTATTCTGGATGCTCTTCTATATTTGTGCAAAATTTCATGTCAATCTAATCAGCCGTTTTTGCGTGATGTCGTAACAAACACACACACAAACATCCGCATTTATAATTAGTAGGATAGGATAGGATTATAATATTAGTAGGATAGGATAGGATAGTAGGATATCCACTAATATCTTACATATACAGAGTGGTACCGAACGACCCACTTTCCTAAAAAGGCTAAGCTAAACTGGTAAAACTGAACAACTTTCCCTAAGGCCCAAAAAGAAAAGCCTAAAAAAATGGACCTCCCAAACAAAAAATTCTGCTGTCCAAGCAATTTTATATAGGCGGTCCAGTTTTTTCTCATTTACGTTTTCAAGAAAGTGGGACGTTTGGTACCACCCTTGTTTAGTTTCGTATCAAAAACGGTTTCGTATCTTTTTGAGCGGACGGTGCTGGCAACACTTTTCGGTCCGCCCCGTCTGTCATCTTTACGCTAGCGTTGTTGAAGCGAATTTTAGTTTTAAGTGGTGTAAAATTAAGGTGTTTTGGCGGTTTTCTCGTGTGCTATTTGCCACAAGCCATGGCTTCCCTGTGCGGTGGGGAAGTGAACCAAGTGAATTTTGGTTTCGGCTTTTTGATTGAGGCCAACGTGGTCGCCGGTAACATAACCTCACTTTGAGTCGTCGCTCGTCGTCGTCGTGGCTGCCGATAGCTACGTATTTTAATTATAAATGATTGGAGGCCAACGGGGCCGATTTCTCATTCGGAGAGAAATCTTTTAGTTATTTTGTGTTAAAAAACATTAT